GACGGAGGTTATGAAAACAACCAACCAACAACAGCAACAACATCCAACGTCAATCACCATCAACGGGAGGGATTTGAAAGAGGTTACTTCATTCACTTATCTAGGGAGCATTGTCTCAACTACAGGAGGAGCGGACGAGGATGTCAAATCGAGCGAGAATCGGGAAGGCGAGAAACACATTCATCAACCTGAAATCAATCTGGAAATCTTCGTCACTCAGCATCAACAACAAAATTCGGATTTTCAATACAAACGTAAAGTCAGTTCTTCTATACGGATCAGAAACTTGGCGGGTCACAAAGAATATTTCCAAAAGGCTGCAGACCTTTATTAACAACTGTCTTCGCTCAATACTGAAGATCAGATGGCCGGAAAGAATCACCAACAAGGAATTATGGGAACAAACAAAGCAAGAACCAATCGCCCAACAAATATGCAGGAGAAAGTGGAGATGGATCGGACACTCGCTGAGGAGACCGCTGGGTGACATCGCGCGTCAAGCCCTCGAGTGGAACCCGAAAGGGAAGCGGCGTGTGGGACGTCCAAGGGTGACATGGAGGAGATCGTGTGAAGAGGAGTTGAAAGAATATGGATTAACATGGATGCAGGCGAAAAGTATAGCAGAAGACAGAAGAAAATGGAGACGTGCAGTTGAAGCCCTATGTTCCACTAGGAACCCAAGAAAGCAATAATAATAATAAAATAATAGCTTGATTCCACACAGTATTTTGATACAAGTGTGGAATTTTCAGTATGTGATATCAATAGCCCAAATTTATCAGGCCAACCACTGATATCAGGTGTGCATCGGCTGGGGACCATATATGCATGGTCGGCGAGTGTCCTAACCGTTGTGCCACCAACGCAGAGAATGTTATTGAAACCTCAGTCCTGAAGGAATATCAATTCAGAGACGAATTCAACCATTACATTAAGATTCTTAGCTATAAGGAAATAATACCTAGCCCATCTGCAACTGTTTCAAACTACAAAGAGGTGAACACAACCGATAGTACATACATTTATGAAACGAGTAAGAGCAGGAGAGAAATAATTAACAATTGTTGTGACAGTCGTCTGTTTACTTTCAAAAATATCATTTAAATCAATGTTGTTCTCATGAAAATTTGATTCCAAACAGGATAAATATGATGAGATGATTACCACTCATCTCAGGCCAACGGTAAAAGGCTTCATGGATTGATGCCAACAAGTCTTGGTTTGACCATCTCTAACTCTTCTCCAACCCAATTTCTGTCAGCTAACATTGCCCGATAAGAAAGGTGATGGCTCCGCCTGCCCAACACATGTCCTGGTCATCTCAATCGATGTAGCTTCACATCACCGACTGACTTTCCGTCCTTACCTAGCACCGTATACCTGAACTAAATATTCCCTATTATATTATATTACCTAACATACAGAACGTGAACATCTGTGGTCAAAAGCAACTAACCTTTTTCATATCTTTCACTCTCATTGGTCACGTCTCACAAACGTAAAAGAGAACAGTGCTAACTGATGAGCAGTACACACGTCCTTTGACTGATAGTCAGTGAGATATCACGTATACGCCAGAAATGCAAATGCCACACAAGCCTTTTATGTCCGTGCTGAGATTCTATCACCGATCAACCAAATAAAGGAAGTGGTCAATACACTCTATCACTTCACTCCCTATCTTTAGGCTAGAAGTCGATGAAGTCTAGTCCTGTAGCAGTAGTATTATCTGAATGACAAGGTTTCGAATAAAATTTATTGCGGTTCATAATCATTTCATCAATTATAATTACACGACTTAGAAACTTGAATTTGATAGTTTTCTTTGTCCTCTCCTATTTATCAAAGGAGTAGTAGAATTTTCCATAAATACCTAGCAAAATCTAGATTAGTTGACCCGAATAAGATCAGAAATCTGGAGAATAGTTCAGTTATAGCACTTCATGCAGTTTTTTTTTTTTTTTTTGATTTACAGCTTGATTCCACACTGTATTTTTGGTTCAAGTATGGAATTTTCAGCATGGATATCGGTAGCCCAAATTTTGCAGGCCGACCATAGATATCAGATGTGCGTCGGTGCGGGCTCGAACCCCGGACCATGTGCATGGTCGGCGAGAGTCCTAACCACTGTGCCACCGACGCACACACACACAACCATATAATAAGGATGGAATAGGATGACAGTTTTTAAATCTAATGTCACAGAGTGGAGGGAAAGGTTGATAACGGAAGCTTTGTTTATTGAATCAACTGCAAATACATGCAATAGGAATGATTCAACACCTGTCCTCTAGGATATCTGGAACATTCTACTACCCCAACGATGACAAATAGGCGAAGACAAAGAAAACTATAAAACTCGAGTTTCGAAGTTGTGTGATTATAATTGATGATATGATTATGAACAATAATGAATTGTGTTCGAAACTTGGTCATCCAGTAAAAATACTGTTTCTGTGACTTTGTGATACATCTAATAAACAAACTAATATCGAGAAACTTACTACCACAGTGCCCAAGTTTTTCACATATATTATTATTAAGCTCTTACTCAGTTGCGTAATTTCGAGAAGACTGCTTTACTGCGTGCGATAAACTTCCTCGACACTTTCTATCATGGCAAACATTGTCACAACACCTCCCTCCCCACCCGAGTCGATGGTGTCAAATACCGCTATTAGGTCAAGTAATAACGTACCAAGTGTTGGACACCAGTAAGTATGCCTGTGTTCCAAAACCTGTCGAAAAGTTGAAGATAATATATATAGACAAGTCATTGTCTTCTTAGCCTACAGCCCAACTGGATTTCCCCCTGAGGTTTTGTTTCTCCCAAGCACCACTTAGTCTATACACACATACACATACAGTGTCACAATTATTTATTATTATTATTGCATCCTTTAGTTCCTAGAGGAACATAGAGCTTCAGCTGCGCACCTCCATTGACTTCGGTTTTCTGACAACTTTTTCACCCTGCTCCAGGTCTGTCCACATGCTTTCATCTCCTCCTCGCATGACCTCCTCCAAGTCACCCTTGCAATGACAACCAACTCGCCGCTTCCCTTTCGGCTTCCACTCGAGCGATGGCTTGTCTAGTGATGTCACTTGATGGTTTCCTCAGAGTATGGCCAATCCATCTCCATTTCTTCCTGCCTATTTGTTTCACAATCAGTTCCTGCTGAGTTGGTTCGCTCATCGCCAGAGATCCCTGTTGCTGATCTTTTCTGGCTGGCCATCTGATCTGGAGTATTGAGCCAAGAAAGCTGTTAGTGAAGGTATGTAGTTTGTTTGAGGTGCTCTTTATGACAACACCCCAAGTCTCTGATCCATATAGTGAGTAGCACTGACTTCACATTGGATTCGAAAATCCGGATCTTATTTTTGATGCTGAGTACTATTGACATCCAAACAGACTAGAGAGAAATGAAAGCTTGTCTTGCTTTCCCGATCCTTACTTTCATATCCTCACCAATTCCGTCCACCTGTAATTGAAACGATGCTTCCCAGGTAGGTGAAGGAGGCTGTTTCTTTCAGGTTCCTCTCATTTATGCAGGCTGATTGTTGTCTGTTGTTGTTGTTGCTGTTGATGTTGGCCAGGAATCTTCATCACCTACCTCTGTTTTCTCTATGTTCACCTGAAGTCCTATGTTCTCTGGATGCTTCCTCTGCCAACTTGTTACTTTTCACTTGCATATCTTCCAGTTTATGGGAAATCAGACATATATCATCGGCGAAATCCAGATCCTCCAAGTCTTTTGTGTCAGTCCATTTTATGCCTGTTCCCTCGTTGGTTGCCGTTGTCTGTCGCATTATCCAATCAATTGCAATCAGGAAGATCATTGGTGATAGTAGACAGCCTTGCCTCACTCCCGTCCTCACTTCGAAGGCTTCCGTAAGTTTCCCGTTGTGGATTACTTGGCATGCAGCATTGTCGTATAACTGTTGGATGAGGTGTATAATTGTCGATGGGACCCCGTAGTAGCGAAGTAGTTTCCAAATGACCTCTCGATCGACGCTGTCGAAGGCCTTTTCAAAGTCGATGAAGTTGAGATAGAGAGGTGACTGCCATTCCAAGCTTTGTTCAATGATGATCCGTAGAGTGGCGATTTGATCAATACATGATTTGTTTCTCCTGAATCCAGCCTGTTCCGGACGAAGTTTTTCATCTAGGGCTTGTTTGATTCTCTCCAGGATGATGCGACTTAGTATCTTGCTTGGAATGGACAGTGTCACAATGTCAAGGATGAAAAGACTACTACTACTACTAAATACATTATCACTTTATTTGTCACATTATTGATCAATAAATATGTCACCACCAGTAAGCAATTTATTCCTTATTCGTTTCACATGAAAATCAATAATTATTAATACAACTATGAAAACAAAAATACTGAGGACGAAAATTTGGTAAAAGCATATAAAAAAGGAGAAAATCAAGGGGAAGTGATACCTTCCCATCCCCCCTCCGACACTGCAGTACACACTCACACACACACACAAAGAGGGGGTGTGAACCAATCAATCATTCCTAAACATTGAAATCACAAGCAAAGAAAAATGAGTAAAACTCAAGGATTAAAAAAAAATGCAAAATCAGGCAAATTGTAACACATCAGAAAAAAATCAATAGAGAAATAAATCCAAAAAAAGAAATCAATAATGAGTAATAATCATTATATATATTAGCAATAGTAAATAATGCATACGAAGAGTATAAATCACAGTTTTATTAACAGTTTATAAATAATGAAACGTTTCAAAACGCACACGCTTCTACATACATCATAATCACAGATGATCGATTCAGCGTAATTTATAGCCTCACTGGGTAAACAAGAGCAGTCATATACGCTTAGATGATACACCATAAATACATAGGAAAAGATCGATATTTGGGGGGGGGTGGGGAGGGGGAGAACATTCATCACACACATACGTACATCATTCATTCATTCATTCAGATTGTCATACATATATATAATGTGACTGACTAGTCTTTAGAATGGATTATTAAGAAAGTTAAAGCAAACTTCACAGACACGAACTGGTTTGGATAGTTCATATTTAACAATTGGGATTTCATACGCTGAACACTGTGAACAGAGTAAACGTCCACAATGACGACTGAAAACAAGAATGGAAAACAAACGAAAAGAGAGAGAGTAATATGTATAAACGAATGAGTACAACTCATCTTTTTTTATATAAGTTGAGATTTAAAAAAGAAAAAGCATAAACGTTAACTGAATTTCAATTTTTATTGTTGAAAAACGTAAAGTTGGCACAATATGGTCACCAAGAGATGAGCCTCACATATATATAGAGTCTGTAGTGAAATTGTTGTCTCAAGATTTATTTATGCGAGGGTTGGGATATTGCACAAACATCCAAACCGAAGCATGTATAGTTGCCTATAGACACTCTGAAGACTGTCAGTAGGACAAGTGGTATCCTATCCCACTGGGCTATATCGTTGATATCATCATTGATAGGCACCTGTTTGTTGTCTGTCTGTTTTCGACATAGAACTTTGCACAAATGTGCGGAAGTTCAAGTCGCCACATTCCGTGTAGCACGCGAAGCAAGAGAAGAAAGTACAAGAAAAGCATAATAGAAACAGTAAACAGAGGTGTGAGACGAAGGAATAGTAATAGCAAAGAACAAAACAGTTTCATTGCAAATCATAGGTCACAAGGAGTGGATGCATCCGCGCTAGCCATTGAGAACGATTTTGAGCCATGTCACCAATTGTTTCCAGCCTCCATTGGTTTTTACCATCCCAAGGACCCCAACCGATCAGGAAGTCTACACCTTCCTACGTGGCTGGCTGGCTTAACTAACTGTTGTGGATTTCATTGACTGATGAAGCATATTTTTGTTTGACCGCCGCTAGCTTTTTTCCAGCCTGACCCTATATCCGCTAACATAGCCGTCGAGGGGCGATGGCTTGGCATACGTACCACATGTCCTAACCATCTCAGTCTTTGTAGCTTCACGATTTTATGCAACAAATTTGCTAAAGGAATTTTAATCAGACCGTGAGCATCCACCACAGCACCCCCAGCTCCAACCTTGTGTCTCCTCCTTAGGTAAAACAAGAAGTCTTTTCAGAAGACTTTATGCACGTACGTCTAAGTATGAAAATTCCACTATACCATATGTAGCGGGACGTACTCTTTGTGATGAAAATAGTGTTAGGCATGAACTAACTAACCTTCTCTGCACTACTAAATAAACCATTTCCTCCACCCTTACAACATCAACCTTTATTGTTATTGTACTTCTTATATTTATAGTCCTCTCAATTTTTGGTTTTTGTTTATCTATTTTTCATAAGTGTGGACATCATTTAAGCTGTGTTATAACTGTTAATTTTGTATTTCCCCTCACCATTCTGCTATATCAACAGAACATTGGATTCAATGCTTCTATAATGACATGCTAAAATTTCCAAACTGAATCGACAATTCTGTTTGAAACAAACTCACTGTTATTATTACTATTATATTTAATATTCTCAATTCGTACTTCGAATATTTTTGACTTTATATCGTAAACGTGGTCAAATTCCCTGGTTAATTTTGTTTTAGTTTTTAATTTTACTTATATTATAAGTATATCAGATGCAATATTGTGAGAAATGCTAAGAATTCCCTTCTGTATTACAAGTACTGCTTTTGGAATAAAGATTACTATTATTATTATTATTACCATTATTATTATTAAACCTCCACTGAAAATCTTATCAACAAAGCAGTGGCGTAGCGTCAGAAGCTGTGCTCACATGGATGGAAGCGACCAAAACAGGTTTATACGCCATCCAATCCTTTCGGATGATGGAGCCGGACCATGTGTACACCATAAGACTTGGAATTACAGCTTTCCAGCCCTTTGCCTTTTAGATATTCATGATCGTCCTTTCATTTTTAGGAAGAAAAACACCCTTGTCGCGTGAAGGCAGTGAACAGGACTTACCTGGCAGAGGCTATGGCCACACATGACCACATAAATGCATTTCGAGAACACGATGAAAATCTATCCACCTCTCCAGCCAGTTATACTAGGTCGTTTATCAGGATAATTTCTATTTTCATCCGTGATGAATAAGAAATTCTGATAGGAAACTGACATAACAGGATGACAAACAGTGATGATGATGAAGAATATAAAGCTCAAAAACTGGAACTAGACTGGCCTACATCTGACGGATTCCAATGCTCCGCTCCGTTATATTTGTTTACCAGAAGTCGGAAAGAATTCTTACTGTGATAAGAAACGTAGTCTCTGAGATTGAAAAAAAACGATAAATACTTAATGCCTATCGATTACGATGACTTATGGATTGATTTCTCACCAGAAAACTGTCATATAATGTGCAGTCTTCTGAATATCTTGGCGTAAAAATCTTATATATATAGCGTGGGAATCTACTCTATCAAATGTAAAAGTAATGCTGCAGGAGTGTGGCTGGTCTACAACGACACCTAGTTTAAAGATAGGAAGTGTTGAACACTTATTTTTCAAACTGTATCCCTCCTAATGGTGTGATTGTTAACCAAATTCTCAGCTCGAATATAAAATTTTCTTCTGGCATTTCACAACAAGTGTCAGCTATGCTGTAGATGTGATATTGGGCTATCGATCAAAGGATGTGTATACTACGCAGAAGTTCGCGCTCATCCTTTTTCACACCTGTGACAAATGACCGTTGGAAATGGAAGAAACAAAGAGGCTAGCAGTCTTTGACCATTGGCATCTTCACTTCAAATTTTCATACTAGACAGCTTAATATGGTGAGTAATATTGAGTCTAGGAGTAAAGTGTTCTATAAGGAGAGGAAGTCGATGGATATGATTGAGATGGTTATCAGTCAAATACAATCAGATGGGAAATAAGACAAGTATTTCAATAATCATAATAAGTAACTTGTTAGAATGTTGTGATGTGCTTGAATTGAAATAGAATTTTGAGATTATTTATTATCCTCTTCTGATTTAACTGACTAGTGGTAATAATATTTTCCATATGTCTGGTATTTGCATTGAGTCATTTCTGCTGCATGTGTTGGGTGTAGACGCAATGAACCAGTCAGGATTCAGCAATCAATCTCTCTCTCGCCCTCCACCTACTTATATCACTTCTTAGAATCTTAACCCTCTCCCATCCTATTGTGTGGTTGTGTGTTAATGCATGTAGTGAAGTCGCTGAGCATTTTTCTAAATTACCTATTTTCATGGGGGCAATCATTATAACCTTAGCTAAATTCTTATATTCTGATAATCTCACTACTCCTGATCTACTAGTTCGACCTATGTAGTCGACTTAACTTACAGTCATTGCAGGGTATTTTGTAAATTATATTATTTTGTTTAATTGGGTCCACCGGATCCTTAAGTCTACAGAGATTGTCCTATCTGAGTGAGTTTGTAGGTTTGAATGCCTGCCTACCTACCTGAATACAGCCAGTCAGTCGCCAGTGAGCATCTCATTGCTGCTGAAGAGTCCCAAACTAAGACGAAAAAGCTGTCCAGTACTACTCCAAGGTCTTCTAATGGTTCTCCAGCCAATGTCGGCTCATGATGAAATCCTGTAATCTATCATCGAAGTGCTTGTAATAGGAGCCGATATGTCTGTCTGTCTGTTTTCAACATAGAACTTTGCACAAATGTGCGGCAGTTCAAGTCGCCGATATGTCAATGGAAACCAGACATTTTGGTGTATAATACAATAAAAAAAAACAACAACGAGAAATACAAAACTCAATCAAAATGAAAATAGGCTTAAACAGCCACTGACTAACCAATGATGTCTTCTATTAGTAATTCCAAATTTAGCACAGCATTCAACACACACAGAGCCATCTTCCCATCGAGGTTCTTGGATAAGTGAATCTAAAATGAAAAAAAAACAACATTAAATGGAATGGATCAGATATTTTGGAAAAGATAATAGTCAATACATAAACATCAAAAATAGAGCTACACAACAACAGTGATATACCACCATATAGCTCTACTACCACCTCTACATATAAAGTGCGCTGGTCAGCCCTTTAGAGTTGATCACAGTGCATTTTGCTAAAGTAGCTAAATTTTATTGATATAAGCATAAAACTTGGGCGCTGTGATGGTAGAGTATAACTCCATTATGGATAAGATTTTATTTTGATTTGATAAGTCACACAGTGTTACACAGTAATGTTATCTGATGACCACGTCTAGAGCACAAATTATTGCCACTCATAATCATATCAAGGTGATCACACAAGTTGTGTGATAGCTAAAATTTTACTCAAACGATTATTGTTCAATATAGAAAAAATCCCTATTTGGACATTTAGAAAACAGAAAGTTTGAGCGAAGAAATATTTACTTTTCAATTAGAACCTCATCTCTGGCTCTACAATATGCAACAGTTTATCAATCAAGTGGCGATATGTTTGTTAACAATAATTAGTCAGTGTCAAAATGTCAATGGGTTGATAATTAACAACAACAGGTCAGTACACCCATTTTTTTCACTTTTGTACCTTTAAAATATAAACGTAACCTGGCAAAGTGTCTGATTCATAGAGCTAGGTTAATCGGTTCTGATGACTGTCTTAATGAGGAGCTTAAGATTATTAGAAAATTACTTAGAAAAAGTGGTTATCCAGATAAATTCATTGAGAAAAATATGAATTCAGCACCAAGTAGAGTCAGTATGGCTACAGTTCTGAAAAAAATCAATGTTCATAAAACTGCAGTTCCTCGATGACAACATCAGCGAAATAATAACACAGCGCCTGAAGAATGCAGTTAAAAGAGCTTATTATGCAGCGGAGGTACGTTGTCTCTTCACAACCACCCCTATTCTATGTTCGAGGAATAAGGATAAACTACCTAAATTTGCCTCTTCTATGTGTATCTACCAGATTGACTGCAGCTGCGGAGCCAACTACATTTGGGCGTACAAATAGGTAGGTTCATCATCGTATTTCCGAACATCATCCAACATGGTTAAGCAAAGGACAAACAAGATCTATTCGTAGCTCTATTTTAGCACACCTTGTAGATAGTGAGCATAAGGTTGACGTTAATACTGCATTTTAAATTATTTATCGCATTCCTACTTATCTTAATTTCGCTTTAAAAGTTTGTCTTCTACATACAGCTGTAGCAATAGGAATCCACCTGAAGAAGCCAGCCAAACCTGTGTGTTCAGAAACAATTTGTACAGCCGCTTTCCTTGCCCTGGCCGTCCTTACATGAATGTATAAACCGGACTACTTCGCCCTCCTCCTAAACATTTAAAAATTATAATTGTCCAAATTATTTTATTCTTTTCCTGACCACTTCATCTTTAATTACGTGTTATCCTCGTAAAATTAATTTATTCTAATAATTTCTACCTTTTAATTGTGTGTATTGATTTTCTTCGTTAGTTATCACCCGTCGCCTTGACATGCCGATACTGACTAATTATTGTTAACAAACACAGCAGTGCCACTTATTTGCTAAACTGTTGTGTATTATAATAAAAATACTGTATAAATATTAGAGTAGAACCAGAGATGAGGATCTAATTGAGTAGTAAATATTTCTTCGCTCAATCTTTCTCTTTTCCAAATTATTTTTCAGTCAATAATGAAAAACAACAGTTTATAGTGATCAGTGACTTGGGAGTAACCACCAACAGCATACATCTGATCCTTGGTGTTCATGCTGATCTGAATTGTACCAGTCACGTTTACACTGGCGGCGTGACTTAACATCGTGGTGCACTCCAAACTAATGTTAGCTGAGTGGAGGCAATCGACAAGAAGCCTTGTTTGGGACAAGATTTTATGCTTGTTGACACCTTGAAGAAGCTGCTATCCCCTCTAAAATTTAAAAAAAGGTGGTACCCCCAGTGCTGCAATCAGAGATATTACCACTAAGCTATTCGGGGCCCGAGATTGGTCTAGTGACAAGTCAAAATATCTGCATATTTTCACTGAGAATGGAGAACTGTTATCTTTTCATAACTATTACGAATTACTGTCTTAGTAATATCCTTAAATTAGGACTCCGAGCTCTTATACTTGAATACGCATGTATACTTGCTGACAAAATTAGTTCATTGAGTAATGCTAGAAGGGAACTGGTTCACTGAAACCAAGTCAAGTTGTCGGAATACCCGCAAATCACGGTCAGTAGGCAAGAAATTTTTCATGAAAATTACAATTAAAGTGTTTATTGTAGTCTAACTATTATTATAATCCATTAACCATTGGACCGCACAAAGAGGCTGCTGACTTTCAAATTCAACGTAATTTGTTAAAGGTTGTCAGCAGGGTAAGCCACAGGGTGCCACTTAACCAGCTTGTTAATATTCTGGTTGACAGGCACATGGACTCATACGAAAAATGGGCTAAATCCATTCAACCTATCTAACTCACAACACCCTCTTCATTCACAACTCTCCCCTTGTATCTCATCAGGCCAGACCAGACCAGAAGCCTATATAGAAAACTACATGCCCGTACTGGCATGTACAAAACTCAACCATACCCTACTTAGCTGGGGTGTTCTGTGCGATAAAGAAAGCATTAGGCGTGAAACCTTTAACTTATTAAATAGTCAGTAGAACAACTAGATCTCATCTTTCCGACTCATATCATTTATAGGTACAACGTTTTCTTTCTCCCTTTTCCTTTTCTCTCTGTTATGTTCCGCTTTGTTTGTTTGTTTCTTTCTTTATTATAAACTCTATGTAAAACATTCTTCTTCGTTCTCTCACACTCTGTATATCTCGACCTATTGTTACCGCTTAAACGCCAGTAAATATGCTAGTAGTATCTACTTTTCTAACACCTTCAAACAGTCTGTTCAATTTTGGCTTTTCTACTGACATGCCAATATGTTGTTGTCAAAACTAACAGAGATTACCTTAATCTATGTAGAATTTTATTTATTGTTAATGTACTAACTGGATGCAATACTGTATGTAGTGAAATGCTGAGAATTCCATTCTGTATCACAAGTGATGCATTGGAATAAAGCAAATTATATATATATATATATATATATATATATATATATATATATGTTTGAAGCCTACTAACGCTAGAGAGAGTAAGCTGATAATTTTAATATTTCGTAGGAACTTTTTTCGCTAGGTCGCTTCTCTCCCTAAGGATAGCAGATAGAAAAGCAACTACTCTTATACCTATTATTACCAGACTTGTTAAGCGGGGGTCAATTATACACACGGACGAGTGGAAAGGCTACAATTCACTGTCATCTCTGGGATATATTCATCATAGAGTCAACCATTCAAGTGATTTTGTGGATCCCGTTACGAGGACATACAAATTCTATTGAAGGATTTTGGGGCAGGTTGGAAAATAGGATAAGGGCTATAGATGGATCTAATTTATGGTCATTTGGATGAATATATGTACAGAATATGGTGTAACTTCCCCATTGACAGTCTCATGCTAAACTGAGAGATGTTTTTGTCACATGCTCGAGAAAGATACCCCATGTAACTTTTTTATTCTCTATTTTATGCTTTTTTCTACAAATATACATTTCCATTCATCATATATTCTTCTTTAATGTGACTGGTCCATTCAAGGTCGTTTGCTGATTGGTTGTTAGTGGTGTCGAAAGCTTACCTTTGCCCACGCAAAATACCCATTGAGGCATGAAGGAAATGAAAGACAATTCAGAGAAGAAGATTTCCTTTGGAGGACGCACAGTCGTATTTATATTTACAAAAGATGTGTAGTCAGTAGTCCATTACTGATTAATAAAGGGCAGGGGTGACATAATTGACATAATTACTCAGAAAATGTTTGTCTAGTGTCTTATTGTCCCATAGTCTTGACGTCTTCATCAGTCGTCTCCAGCAAATTATTTTATTATTATTATTTTTAGTTTTGAATTCTACTTATAGATTGCTTTTATGTTTTGATAATTAATTCACTATTACCACTCTTATAGGTTCCTTTTGTACATCTTCACAGACCTCTTCACACTTGTTCAGTTGACATTGATGAACTACCTTTATTCTCATCCAATAACAATTTTAACTTTATTTCTAACCACTTCTTCTTTTTGCAGTTGAGTACTACGTAATTTAAAACTTTTATTTTTACTTTTGAAGATATTTCTGAGTAGTTATATCAATTGTCAGCCACCCCCTCCAGCTCTGTTAGTTAATAATAGACTACTATGCATCTTCGGTAAATATAAGTACGACTGCACAGACTCTGAGGATGATTTCTTCGATTATTATTATTAATAATAGTATTATTTCCTTTAATTCCTCGAGAAACATAGGGCTTCAGCCGCACGTCTTCATTGCGTTCGACTCTCTGCCAACGTTTTCATCTGGCTCCAAGTCTGCCCACATGCTTTCATTTCCTCTTCACATGACCTCATCCAAGTCATCCTTACACTGACGACCAATTCGCCGCTTTCCTTTCGGGTTCCACTCGAGTGATGGTCTGGAGTACGATGTCATTTGATGGTTCGATTTCTCATTGTCAGAGATCCTTGTTGCTGATCTTTTCTGACCGACCATCTGATCTTGAGTAGAACTGAATGAAGACAGCTGTTGATGAAAGTGTGTAGTTTGTTCGAAGTGCCCTTCGTGACGCGCAGTGGAAGCCTCTGATCCGTATAGTAGCACTGACTTCACATTGGAGTTGATAATCCGGATCTTATTTTTGATTCTGAGTGCTGTTGACTTCCGCACAGACTTGAGAGTAATGAAGATTGCCTTGCTTTCCCGATCCTCGCTTTTATGATATCTTCATCAGTTCTGTCCACCTGTAGTTGAAACGATGCTTCCCATATATATATATATATATATATATATATATATATATATATATATATATATATATGCCGTCTGCCATTAATAATGCTGAAAAGAAACCAAGGTCATGAGAAATGGGAGTACTCCTAACAGTTCTCTACAGGAAAGACAACCTGTTTCTTTAAATATTACAAAGAGGTACGTACCTAGTAACTGTGAAAGTACACGTCCAGGTGATGATTTTTTCCACTTCTTTTTATTTAAACTAAATACACTATCCCCTTCAGAATTCATGATTCCCAAAGATGCACCAGCATGAAGTAAAGCTATGCACAGTGGTATATTTTCAGCTTGGTAGGCTAAAAGTAATGCTAAAGATAGGAGAGAGAGAAAAAAAGGGAGAAAATCAACGTTCAGTGACCATACGCAGTAAAAAGATAGTGATGATGGCTTAATGGCAGAATACTCGTTAACCATGCATGTTCATACACACAGCTGTACAATCGCATTTATGTACAATTATTTGTGTGTGTATGTGTGTGTGTACATGAGGTTTGTCAAGTTTAGATAATTAATCAGGTAATACAAGAATGATCTAATAATAGAAACAAGGTTAATCGCATAGCAACTAAAGTAAGATTGAGTTAGTTAGTAAGTTAGATGACGTAATATAATTGACTAAAATGTTTCAACCTAGGTCAGGGTAGCAACACAGGTAATTACAGGTAGAGACTAAGTAGAAGTGGGGTAGAGAATAATACCATTTAAATTAGAACTGAAATCGAGCAAGTTGGATGAAGTTACTAACATAAATGACTAGAAATTGAGCGTTGGTCAAGTCAGTAACAGTAATATAGAGGTGTAGAAATTAAATCGGGTGGGGGTAATGAACAAGAAAGTCGAAAATGCAAAATATTACAATTGAGAAGACAAAATAATACTAATGAAGACTCAGACAAAAAATAAAGATTAGGTAGAATTTACTTGTCGCGTAATAAGATAGATTAAGTCCATTGTGAGTGTAGCGATTGAACGAACTTCTTCTGTATGCAGAGTTCAGGGGTTAGCAAGTGAATCGCCATTGCTTCTGCAGTTTGAAGAAGTCTGATTCCTACACCTTTACGAAGACTACTTGTTACTCTGTAGACGACTTTGAAGTTTGTTTGAGGTGTAGCTTGGTGTCCGGATTCTATCAGATGTTCTAAGATAGAGCTGTGGGGACATCGTTTTTCCCCTTTGTAAAACCATGTTGGTAAGTGTTCGGTGATACGCTTGGAAAGCGAACGCTGGGTACGGCCAACATACCCGGCTCCACACGAGCAGGTGAATTGATAAATACACATTGATGAGGTCAGCAGTGGTAACTTATCCTTCACGTTTACATGAATCGCAGGTTTTGTGGAGAAGGTTAGTCGTAGTTCAGCTGCGAAAAAGGTCTTCTTGAGTGAGCGCGACAGTCGATTTTTTAGTGTTTCCGCAGATATATCTCCAACTTAGTCTCTACATGTAATTACCTCTGTTGCTACCCTGACCTAAGTTGAAACATTTTAGTCAATTATATTACGTCATCTAACTTACTAACTAACTCAATCTTACTTTAGTTGCTATGCGATTAACTTTGTTTCTATTATTAGATCATTCTTGTATTACCTGATTAATTATCTAAACTTGACAAACCTCGTGTACACACACACATACACAAAGAAATAATTATATATAAATGCGATTGTACATCTATGTGAATGAATTCGTCCAAAAGAGTCTCTTCGCTAAACGTCTTCTTTTTTTCATATAACTTAACGGGGATTTTCAAACCATGCATGCGGTCATGAGTTCGAACACAGTTTACTGGTAGATAGTTAGCCATGAAAAGAGGAAGGGTTGGGCTTCAGACTAGTAATCAAAAACCACGGCTACTGAAGCTTCAGATATTAAAGCTTCACTGTCTATACCCCACTCGAAACTCGAAGAATGAAAACACACACACACAGCCCAAGGATGAGAATTAGTAACAGTGCGAAACATCAGATAAAATTTGTAGCTAAGGGAAACGAATAAGTTATGTAATGTTGTTCTTCATGTTTTGGTATTTGGTCGTGGGGCTTTCAACTAAAGGCCTGGTTACAACGTCATCACGAAATTTTTCTACTTTATAATCAAATAACATCTACTGGTAATAAATTCAGTCAACGAGCATCCGCTTCACACCCGAATTAGTCGGAGACCAATGGATAGATCTTCCCATTAGAACTTAATATTTCATACAAGAATTCCTTTTTATAAATACCAGTAGAGAATAACATGGATCCATTTTATTTATCTTATCCTCATCAGATGCACACAACCTATAATGTTTAATAAATATAATTCAGCGTACAATTTAACATACTTTTGTCTTTACGAGTTGATCATGGATTGATAACAGTTAGAGAACCATTGAAAATCAAGGTGTACCACCAGAGAGCTGTTTCACCCTAGTTCAGGAATAATCGGCAGTACGCACCCACCAACCAATGTTCGAGGCCCCACGACCTTCCGGTTACAAGGCAAGCTGGCTCGTATACCATTCAGCCACTGGGACCCGCCCGATTCCTCAATGGCCAGCCCATTAACTCTTACTTCTACCAATTCGTGATTTAGTGCGACCCCAACGAATGTCGTCGGTGGGACATAAGTGTCGTAGTGAGATAGAACATCAGGATGACAAGGGGTAGCTGAAGTACTACAGAGTGTATATATATGTATATTGTTAGAAAGAAGTTTCTGGAAAACTGACTGACAAGTTGGTTGTTAGGGCGATAAAAAAATACTAGTAATAATTACGTAGTTAGATAAGAGACGATCAGAATGTGTTGTGCAAGGGGTTGAATGACGATGTGGTGATGTAATACAATAAGGTCAAGCAGAATTAACTCTTATGCAAGTCAGACAGAAAAAAGATAAGTTAATCAAATTAGAAAACAAAGAGTTATTGCAGCATGAGTCAACAACAGGGTCATTGTAGTCCAACGACAGATTCCTTTTGAACACATGAGTCATGTTTCAGACGTTTTATTGGAATAGCCTTAGCAAACTGAAAAAAGACTTGAGTTATTTTGTCCGTTAATTATTATTTTGAAAGATGCCAACGCGTCTACTCGGTGTCCTGCGTCTATCAGTTGTTCGGTAGTCGAAGAGCCTAAACTGCTTAGCCCCTTTAACCGGAAGTTCCTTTGTATATCTTCAAAGAATCCAACGTAGGCCCTTCTATCTATTCTTCCAATGTTACTTTTCCCACAGATACATGTGAATTGGTGTATACTTAATATAATTAATTGAATATAACTGATAATATTAGGGTTTTCTAAAAAGAAACTAAAAATTTTAAGTACAGAAAAGATAATCTTCAGTACTTACGAGTATTGCCGGCTGCATCTTGAGCATTAATCTGATTGGTTACTGATAGTTCTAGCAAGTTTTGAAGCATTTCGACACCAATTGAACCATGATGATTAGCCAACAGGTGAATTGGTAATTGACCTCTAAAAAGTGAAACAAAAAGTCTCCTTTTTTCAAGGCCAAACAAAAAATAAATATTGGTTTAACAAACTAAGAGAAAATAAGACAAGTGATTATGATTAATTACCGCCATCAACGTAACTATTAACATAGAAACCACTGATTAAGGCCTTCAAGTATGAAAAGTCACTTCGTCTTCAAGGAACTGGAATTTTCCTCCTACCGTAAAAACAAGAAAGGACAGATGAGGCTCGAAGGCAACGTCCATCAGGATAAACGCATTGCAGGTACATAAATTTGGTATACTATATCTTCAAAGCTTTATTTGCACATCATTGGTCGAATATTGGTGCCATCAACAATTATACATCTCATCCAACAATTGTACGACAACGTTGCATACCAAGTAATCCACAACGGGAAACTCACTGAATCCTTCGAAGTGAAGAAAGGAGTAAGACAAGATGGCTGCCTACTATCTCCAACGATCTTCCTGATTGTGGTAGACTGGATAATGCAACAGAGAGATAGCAGGCAGCGAGGAAACAGGCATGAAATGGATCCAAACAAAAAACTTCGGGGATCCGGACTTCGTCGATGATATATGTCTCATTTTCCCAAACTGCAAGACATGCAAGTGAAATGTAACAAGTTGTCAGAGGAAGCATCCAAAGAAGATAGGACTTCAGATGAACATAGAAAAACAGAGGTAGGTGATAAAGATTCCTGGCCAACAGCAACAGCAACTACAACACACAAAAATCAGAACAAATGGGAGAAATCTGAGAGAAACAACCTCCCTTATTTATCCACCCACTTGGGAAACATCGTTCCAACTACAGGCGGACGGAACTGATCAGAATATGAAAGCGAGGATCCGGAAAGCAAGACTGTGTGAAGGTCAACAGCACTTATCATGAAAAACAAGATCTGTATTTTCAACTCCAATGTGAAGTCAGTGCTACTATACGGATCAGAGACTTGCACTACGCGTCACGAAGGGCACTTCGAACAAACTACACACTTTCATCAACAGCTGTCTTCATTCAGTTCTACTCAAGATCAGATGGTCGGTCAGAAAAGATCAGCAACAAGGATCTCTGACAATGAGAAATCGAACCATCAAATGACATCGTACTCCAGACCATCACTCGAGTGGAACCCGAAAAGAAAGCGGCGAGTTGGTCGTCAGTGTAAGGATGACTTGGATGAGGTCATGTGAAGAGGAGATGAAAGCATGTGTGCAGACTTGGAACCAGGTGAAAATGTTGTCAGAAAATCGAATGCAATGGAAACGTTCGTTGAAGTACTATGTTGCCTTAGGAACTAAAGGAAATAATAATTGGTCGAAAATCACCACATTCCATATATTGTTGGATTCTCCACGGTGTTTCTAAAGTTCTTCCGACAGTACTGGTCTTCGATTGCCTTTTTTAGTGTCCCAAAACACATTGTTATTTCTCTGCGTTCATTTACAGATATACTACTTATGTCTGAGTATAAGTAGCGCTCACCAAACTATTACTCATAGAAAACTTTGATTTTTAGGTCGACTGCAAAAAATGACAACAACTTCACAAACGCTGTTATCAACTCACAATAAGACTGCATATAAATCGGATACTTCAACTCAATATTGCAGATCACATATTGTGATCTGAATTATTTTGCTCTTCATCAAGGCGTATTCTCACCTTGAACTGTATCATTATTAAATTGGAGAATTTGACTTCAAAATATCACCGTGATTTGATACGATAAGTTAAAAAAAGCATTTTAAAAACGCTTACAAAACTTTGGATTACATTTTGCTCAAATTAAACTAACCTGATATTTACACTGCAACAATTTGTTGCTGAATGACTAAGAAGTTTAACAAGACACTCCACTCTTCCATGTCGAACTGCTAAGTGTAGTGCTGATATCATTGTGAACAAATGCAAAATTATAAGAAGACGACAGAGAATAAGAAAAAATTCTGTATACATTTAACAGAAACTATTTAAACACAACACATGCAATACATTTTCCCTGAAACAATACCAGCTAATATAAGTTATGGCTCATTGGTCTAAGTGCTCAACTGCCCAATTACTGGGTCTAGATCCGAACCCCTCCCCCTACTCCACCAAGACAGATTCAGGCAACTAAATAGTACCATTTTAACGACAGAAGAAAACAGCCCGGCAACAAGATCGTTTATTGACAAAATCAAGAGGTAACTATAGATTTTAATGTCTGTCTGTTTTCGACATAGAACTTTGCACCGATGTGCACCAGTTCAAGTCGCCACACTCCACTCCTTGTAACACACAAACCAAGAGAAGAAAGTACAAGAAAAGCATAATAGAGACAGTAAGCAGAGGTGTGAGACAAAGAAAGAGTATTAACGAAGAACAATAGAGTTTCATTGGAAATCATAAGTCACAAGGAGTGGATGCATCTGCTCTAGCAAACCATTGAGAACGATTTTGAGCCATATCACCGATTGTTTCCAACATTGGTTTTTACCGTTCCGAGGACCCCAACTAGACAGAAGTCTACACCTTCCTACGTGGCTGGCTTAAACTAACTATTGTAGATTGATATGTATCCACATGACGTGTTTTTTGTTTTTGACAGTCTGTTATATTTTGCTAGTGTATGTGGATCGATATTCCATTATAACTGACAATATGCTTTTGTCTGTCCACTAACTAAATAAACAATCTATGACCTTGTTATCACATGACATTACAACCAATCATGGTAAGGCGTTATCTATTGGTTCATGTGTATTAGTCATTTCCATATATACTTGTGTACTGTATTCTTGTTCACACACACATTTCGTACACTCGTACCATTTCACTCACACTCTTGTGTGACAATTATTTTCCTTGTCTGGAAAATACAAGTATCACCGTAAACCTGGGGTCTTCTGATTTCCCTCTTTCCGCGTCAGGACTATTAACTACTCGACGAGTACATAACATAGATTTCATTGACTGATGAAGCCATGTTTTTGTTTGACCTCCGCTAGCTCTTTTCCAGCCTGACCCTATGTCAGTTAACATTGCCCGTCGAGGAAGGCGATGACTAGACATCCCTAACACATGTCCTAACCATCTCAGTCTAGGTCTAAGCTCCAGGTCTGCCCACATGTTTTCATCTCCTCTACACATAACCTCCTACAAGTCACCCTTACACTGACGACCAAATCTCCGCTTCCCTTTCGGGTTTCACTCAAAGACTCGTCTAGTGATGTCACTTGGTGGTTCGATTTCTCAGAGTATGGCCAATCCACCTCCATTTCCTCCTGCCTATTTGTTTCACAATCGGTTCCTGGTTGGTTCGCTCATTGCCAGAGATCCCGTTGCTGATCTTTTCTGGCCATCTTAATACACAGCTGATACAATTTATCTTGCGGCGAATGACATTGATCTTGTCTTCGCCGGCTGCCAAGTCTTTTGCTATGCACAGTATTTGAACGGATTGGTCATGTTGGATTGATGCACAATATCTATTCCGGATATGGTTCCAGTATCCTTGCAGTCATTTCAGAGTATCAAATATATACCAGTAAATGTTATGTAGGATGGTGACTGACTAGCAGTGGAATCCACGACGCACATTTTGAACTATTTGTGACTCATCATCTGGATGGATGTACCTGCAATCCTCAGTAAGTGTGACAGTCTCCCCAATGAGACTCAAACACACCGCCCATCGTTTAGAACGCCAAAGCTAGTCACCATCTACCAAATAATATCGAAAATGATCCTCAGATATCAACAAAGCGTCCGTAATCGGTCCAAACGATGCGAAAAGCGAAACTCGTAGATCAGCGAAAAGACTCTTTTCGGCGAATTCATTTCCTTAGCTGTACAATCGCAGTCGCCCACTGATCTGCAGAAGCCTCAATGACAAGATCCCGCATCTGACCACTTCTATGTGCATATATCAAAATCACCTGCTGCTGTGGAGCCAGGTACATCAGTCGTTCGACGTGCACCCTGTCCAACAGGATTCAAGAACAATATCCAGCATGGTTGCGAAAAGACAATAGTGGTGCAATAAGGAGTGCGATATTAGAACAGCTGGTTAACAATAATCATTCTATTTGAACAACAAATTCCTCCTGCTTCAAAGTAATCCACAGAGTCACGAATAACCTATCAAAGGCAATACGGTTTCGTCTCCTTTGTATCGCTGGAGTTCTGGCCATTCATATAGAAAAACTGGAGCTGTGCATACAAAAGAAGATTCCACAACCACTTCAACTCTCACGGTAACAATTTTTGTTTTGTTTTGATGACTTTTGTTTCTTCGCTTGTTCTTTAATTGCTTATAATTCTTGTATTCATTTAGAACTCGTACGTAATTTCGTATTATCTACTTTGTTTCTATGTGCATCCTGAGTAAAATTCACTCATCAAACTATTCATATTATTAAATAACTTCTTTTAACAACTGTTTGTGACAACTCATCACCTGTCTGTTACTACCCTAATTTCATTAGCTCCTAATTTTCTTGACTGATTTTGTATTACCAATCCTCACCCGTTCAGTTAAAATAACCATAACCGATTGTCTATATTTTGTTTGACGAACTTAATGTACAAATACATACAAAATAACCCATATATATATATATATATATATATATATATATATATATATATATATATATATATATATATATATATATATATATATATTTGTGATTGTACAGCTAAGAAAATGAATTCGCCGCTGAAAAGAGTCTCTTCGCTGATCTACGTGTTTTGTTTTCATTAAACACAAAACTAATTTAAACAACTAGGTAGGTACGCGCACATTTAGCTTAGAATGATAATATGAATAACCGCATGAAAAGCAGTAACCACAGGGGAACAGAATGACTCACGTGTATTCAACTCTGAGTCTTGAGCATTTGCATCAGCTCCATTCTCTAGTAAACAGTGTACTAGCTTAGGTCTATCGTAAATCACAGCTAAGTGCAGCCCATACTGCTTTTGTGGTGTCTGTGAATTAATTGATGCACCGGCAAGAAGCTAAACACACCAAGCGACAGACGAAATAGTAAAAACAACAACAAAGGGAGAATGATAATTAATAGAAATTCAAAAATACAACAACTGTTGTAATGAAGTAGAAACAGTTAAAATAGATGGATGTCTGCAACGCCGATGAATATCAATTATATGTGTGGAATCTAATGTGCATGGATGATAAGCAAGAATAATGAATTTCATGGAGGATTTCATCATGAGCTGACATCAGTTAGAGAACCACTGGGAAACCTGCGAGGAGTAGTGGACAGCTGTTTCGTCAGCCCAGTTTGGGACTCTTCAGTAGTACTCCATCACCGGGGTTGGAAACCAGGACCTTCTGGTTACAAGGCAAGCTAGCTCGTAGACCACTGAGCCACTGGGACCTGGATCCAATGGTTCTTGAATTCTAACTTCTGCCAATTTACGAAATAGCACGACCATTTCGCAATGTCTTCTTCGATGAGTTACTGCTTCATCTTCAACCTGCTGTACCTGCTGCTTCGAACCCCGGTGGGTGCATACTGCTGAAGAGTCCAAAACTAGGCTGACGAAACAGCTGTCCAGTACTTCCAGGTTTTCCAGTGGTTTCCTGACTGATGTCAGCCCATGATGAAATCCTCCATGCAATCAAAATAAAATCCCTACAAAACCAATACTTGAAAAATGTGGTCTCCCTTGACGTCGTCTCTGTCTTTACCAATCGATCATTCATTTTGTTTTTTTCAACTAATGACTGGACCGTTCTGCATACTTAATATGAAACCTAAGATTCTTTTGATTTCATCACTTATTATATCATCAGTGTGCTTACTGCTCGACGTGTAAAACCCTGTTGATGAAATAATCTTCCAAGACAACCTGGCTTTCCTCAGTTTCCTGATGAGTTTTAACTTGGTAGAAAAGGGAAGATAATTTGTCTAATTTTATTGAACTATTTTATTGCGTAATATATGTATATATACAAAACACTAGCTGATGATGAAAATACGCTGACATACACAGAAAACTTTTATCAGACAGTAGAATTTTCATCTAGACAACAAAGAATTGGCGTAGAGTAATTTATCATCCAATGACGATAACATAGTTTTCCTGTAGAATCATTTTTCATTTCTTTTTTTTTTATTTAATTCAACATTGAACAGAATTGTATTTCAGAAATTTAAACTTTATCGTCTGTTAACTATTATCATTGTTATTATTATTATTACCGCCGTCTGTCTATTGCTAATATAACATAACCGGCAACTAATGATCTATCAGGCTGCGAGAGAAATACGAATCCAGTGTGGATGATAAATTGCTTTACAACAATTTTTCTAACAACACAAAGAAAGTTGCATTGTCTGATAAAAGTACACCTTTATAGATTACATTCTGTTTTAGACTAGAGTAAGAATGCATTATGCAATAGTTTAATCAAGTAAACAAATTACCTTCCTTCTTTTTTTTTTACTTCAAGTTAAACTTCATTTTCAAACTGACATCATGCATGTTAGAGAAAGCGTGAAAATCACTGATGATGATGATGATCATGATCATGATGATTGATCAGTGATCGAGTCAAGGAACTTTAGATTCTAAAGCGAAGTTGTTCACTACTCAACCGTTAGTGGGAAACCAATAAATAACAATCAGAAGCTTTCTGGGATCGATGCCATGTTTTCATTTGACCACTCACTACTACTCCACTTAATGGCAACATTCCACATCATGTCTAAAATTAGTATTCAATTGATGGTTTGTAGGGATTTGATTGGTTTCAGGTTGTCTAACTACTGTCAGCTCATGATGAAATCCTGAAACCAATCAAATCCCTACAAACCAACACTTGAATACCAATGAGATGCTCACTGGCGACTGGCCCTATTCAGGTAGGTAGTTACCTGGGTTCCAGTGGGAAGTCGTGACCAGGAGGGTGCAGCTGGTCGGGTGTAAGGACAAATACTCGCCGAAGACATTGGCTAGCGGTCGCGCTATGTCGTGAATTGGCAGAAGTTAGAATTCAAGGACCATTGGATCGGGTCCCAGGGGTCTAATGGTACACGAGCTCGCTGGCCTTGTAACCGGAAGGTCCTGGGTTCGAATCCCGGTGGGTGCGTACTGATGAAGAGTCCCAAACTAGGACGAAACAGCTGTCCAGTACTCCCAGGTTTCCCAGTGGTTCTCTAACTAATGTCAGCTCATGATGAAATTCTAAAATTTGTGTTTAGTTTGTGATATTATTGTGGTCAATCCTGAAATCTACACCAACACAAACACTTGTTACGTATACCGATGATCTAACTGTTTTAATATCTGTTAACACCCGGCTAGATTCTTGTACTAAGATGAACAGCTTTCTATCAGGAATAAGTAAATGACCTTCGTCTAATGGCCTTGATGATACTGATATAGAAACGAAGTATAAAGTTAAGTATCTTGGATTAATTCTTTCTTCTGACCTATCCTGGTCTTCCCATGTCTTAGAGATTTCTAAAAGAATATTTCGTCTGACTTTTTACATTGAGAAGTTGAGGCACTCAGGTATAACCCAACAACCCCTCCTCTTACAGTTTGTCAACTCGCGTATTTTACCTATTCTACTTTACTGTTCACCCTTATTCTTTCCTAGATTGCTTGAAAAAGACTATGTCATACATACTTCGTAGAACTCTGAAGACTGTCAGTAGGACGAGTGGTATCCTATCCCACTGGGCCATATCGTTGACATTGTCACTGATAGGCACTTGGTGTCATACAACAAATTTGCTAAGAATTTTAATCAACGTGAGCATCCACCACAGCACCCCCAGCTCCAACCTTTCTCCTCCTTAGGTAAAACAAGAAGTCTTTTCAGAAGACTTTATGCACGTACGTCTAAGTATGAAAATTCCACTATACCATATTTGGCAGGACGTACTCTTTGTGATGAAAATAGTGTCAGGCATGAACTAACTAACCAACCTTCTTTGCACTAGTAAACAAACCATTTCCTCCACTCTTACAACATAAAACTTTATTGTTATTGTACTCCTTATATTTATAATCCTCTCAATTTTTTGTTTTTATTTGTTTATTTATTTTTCATAAGTGTGAATATAATTTAGACTGTGTTATAACTCTTAATTTTTGCCTTTCCCCTCACCATTCTGCTATATCAACAGAACATTAAATTCAATGCCTCTATAACATGCTAAAATTTCCAAACTAAATCGACAATACTGTTCGAAACAAACTCACTGTTTATTATATTATTATTATATTTAATATTCTCAATTCGTGCTTCGAATATTTTCGACTTTATATCATAAACGTGGTCAAATTCCCTGGTTAATTTTGTTTTAGTTTTTAATTTTACTTATATTATAAGTATATCAGATGCAATATTGTGAGATATGCTGAGAATTCCATTCTGTATTATAAGTAATGTTTTTGGAATAAAGTAGATTATTATTATTATAATACAACTAAATGGAAAATTCAACACCAATCAAGTCTCTCTATGTCTAATGTGTCATTTATCTCCTCATATTGTAATTCGAATATTAACATACACGCGACTACTGACTAATTGGACTTTCAGTGTAGGACTTTTCACAAAACTACAGGTATCCCAGTGGACTCAATCAATAAAAGCACACAGAGGCGTGAAAAGATATACAGAAATGTGAAGAAACAATAACAAACAGAGATCTATATATGAAAGAGAGAATAACTTAATGGAGAATAATGAGAATGCGATGAATCTAGGAATTCATTGCACTCTGATACTGTAACTCTCTTCTCCTTCACAAGCTGCAGTGTCGTCTGTGACACTCTATTCAACAATGGCTTACCAGTTGCAACTACAGATTTCTTGACCGCACCGTTATCGTCACACAATTCGGAGTCAGACCTGGATTTCACATTTAGCTTACAACTGAACTTGCTCACTGGTTCACAGTTCACCTTTGTATGCACCTCTTGCAAATGTGTAAAACACAACCGTGTTTGTCTTGCATCTTGTAACTTATCTGTTGAGGATGTACTACGAAACCTGTTACACTCACTAGGTCTATATGCATTACTAGACATCATGCAGCCTTCTCGATATCCACCTTTCTGAGGCCTATTCGTCATCAATGATTGCGTTTTTTCCTCAGACTGCCCTATTCTAGGGGTGAGATTCAATACACTGGCAAACTTGCTCATAGATTGATTGACACTATTGTTTACCAGTTTCAGAATGTCATCGAACTTTGGCTCGATACACTTATCCTCCGTACGGGAGCTTATCTTCACCCACTTCCTTTGCAGCCGAGTAGGTAGGCGTCTTGCTATTGCCTCTAGGACAAAACTCGAGTTGAGCTCACTCATGCAATTTATCGAAATCAATGCATTCTTGTAAATCAGCAAATTATCCAAAAACTCAGAGAGTGCCTTGGAGTCATCTCGTAATTGACTACCATTACCTTTAACAGGTTCGAATACGTTCCTTACAATCATCGTAGGTCTTCCGAATCTTTGACGCACCTTTGGCAACAATTTTAAACCATGTCACCAATAAACTCAAACAATTGGTTTGTAGTCTCTTGGGCAGCCCCCTCCCCCTGTGAGGCATACTTCACCAGCCTGTACGACTCAAAACCGACAGTCAAAGACTTCATGAATAGATACCATGATAACGTCTTACCAGGCCAAGCTTCTTTTTCCAACCAACCCGGTGTCAGGTGACCCTGCTAGGCGACGAATGTGTATTAAACGTGACATTTATCAAACCTACAATTAGTACTATAAAAGAATCATCCTACTTTTAGTTATCATTGATTTTTTGGGTGAAAATAAATCAGCGTCTGTCAGGAATATCTTCAGTTTCTCTCACAACTACGCGGACAAAACACTCAAGCGACTGACATTCACCATCGTCTGTCAAGGCACTGTGTGTAAACATAACAGTTCACCAGTTCAACCACTATTTATTCGTTAATGTCGAAACAATATTCTCATCATACAAGTAGTTAGTGGTGGTCAGATTCTAT